GTCACACCTCAACCCGCCTCAAAGCCAACGCTGATTGGACGTTCGTTTGGTGAACAGCTCCAAATTTTCTTTAACGGAGAGTCTCCAGACTGATCTGCGAGTGAAACCTTGAAAGCTCGCGAGATCAGGATGGTCTCACCAGGCTACAACCCCATGGCCACACCTTAAGTCTGGACTATACATGCATCTTTATTTATTTAATCCACACACATACTTTAGTTTGCAATAAAACTTTATTGTTAGTTCAAATGCATGTGTTCTATTTGTAAGCGCCAGAGGTGGGGACTCGAGTTTGTGACTCGTACTCGAGTCGCACTTAAATCGCATATTTAATGACTTCAGACTCGACTTAGATGATTTCCGACTTGTGAACAATATTTTATTTTTTAAGTGTAACCTCTGCTGTGTGCACACAGCAGAGGTTAAAAAAAAATGTAGCACTGACGTCACTGACGCAACGCTACGTGACGTATAAGCATGTATTTTTCATTTACCAGTTCAAGATAATGATCATTCCATAGATATAATCGCAACCTTTAAGCTATACCGTCTCAGTGAAGGAGATGAAAACACAAGGAGAAACAAGCAAGCGCGAAAATTATTGAACTTATTTTTATTAATCATGTGATTAGAATTTATGGTGCGATTAATTCAATATTGCAACAGGCCTACTCTAGACTTGAGACTTGACTTGGACTTGCAAAAAATGACTTGTGAACATGTCTGGTAAGCGCGCACATTTAGTTCACTGCATTTGCTTGCACTCATTCATATTTCTGTTTTTGTCACTAATGTTTCTTATGCCTAGGCGTTGGTCAGACAAAGATGGCAGCCAGGGTTCAGATCTGCTAAATGGAGGAGAGGAAATTGGACTGTTCCATCAGCTGCAGCTTAAAGGGGGGAATTTGAATTTTCCTTTTCTAATTTTTTGCATTTTTCACTTAGGATTTGGTGTGTTTTCCTTTTTCTAAGATATAGATTAGTTTTATGCCAAACCTTACTGTACTGCCAATGTTTGTAATTTGTGGTTGCTTGTTTAGTTTGAATTACCCCTATTGTGTTAATGGTCTGACCAGCCTTGTGTGTCCTTTCTTTGTTAGGTCAGTTATGTTTGTTTATGCAGCCAGTTTGCTTGAGTTAAATTTTCTCTTTTTTTGGTTGGCCTCTTTTATGACTTTATATATTTTTTGTAAGTTTCTTTTTTTGGGTTAAAAATAAAAAACCCTATTTTTGAATTAATTCCTGTGACTCTTCATGCTTTTCATCTCGGTTCCTTTAAGTCACCTAACTGTAGCCCTCTATGCCACGCTAAGTCAGATTGCTCAAACACGCGTAGAGCAAACCACGTTTATGGTCATACTTTGGACCTTGTGCTGACATAAAATTATGATTCTTAGCAAATAACATATTGTAATCATAAACTGTCTCGTCTGACCAGTTTTTATTAACTGCTGAATTTAATGGAGTTGTGCATTTTTAAAATTCACCTTATATCAGTCAATGCTGTCAATAAACTGTTAAATATCTAGTTTCCTCTTTAACACATAGAAATTGTCTATAGTTGTATAAAATGACTTTTCTAAAAGCTTGAGCAGCAGATTTCTCTTTATTAATAAAGAAGAACAATAATCCTAAATTTCTTTTTAATGCACCGACAGCCAAACTTAAACAATAGTTCCATTGAACCGGCCGTTCCTCCTGCTTGTAGCTCCATCTGATATCAGAGATCTGATTGTTCCTTATGTTCCTAACAGAGCACTTCGCTCTCAATCTGCAGGTTAACTAGTGGTTCCTAGAATTTCTAAAAGTAGAATGGGAGGCAGATCTTTTAGTTATCAGGCTCCTCTCCTGTGGAACCAACTACCAGTTT